TCAAAAAATAAGACAAGAAATACTCACGTATCAAAAACTAGACCCTCCTAACCATTTTATATCTGAAGCTATACTTGAAAGGCTTCAAGGATACAGTATATCTTATCATCCTACCGAGCAAGCCTTTGCTGATATAATTACAATGCTCTGTATGCATCCTGCTAAAGTTACGACTCTTTATATTGCTAATGGACGTGTGACAGGATATACTAAAGGTCATGGAATAGATAAAGGCGAACCTAGGAAATTTCGTTCAATGGAAAAAGATAAAAAATGGGCTTGCGAATTACTTACTTGGATTCAAAAAGCAATTGCAAATAGCACTTTGCGGGATCCCAGAATACTAGGTATAAAGTAGTTCAATTCATTTCTAAAGCCTTATAGTATTAAGCCAAGTGATTTGCATGAATTGGGTGCAAACTATACTGCTATGATACATGAACCTGAAAATCCCGGTCAAAGATTTATTATTATGTGAGAAGCTTTGAAGCATAACCCAAAATATGTATCACCAGTAGAGCATTATGCTCATATATCTTATAGAGCTATTGGGTGTGAATCTATACATAAAAATACCAAGAATAGTCATACAGTAACTATATCTCCAGTACCTAAGCAAGAAAATGCTGAAGTCAAAGTCGAGGATATTATTGACCTATATAATTACTAATTGTACTTCTTTGCTTTTATCCCATTCACTCTAATTTCACCCTCTTCATCACTAGATGATTCAGAGTTGGACCCAGACTCAGATGAAGATAAAGATCCAGACTCAGATGAAGATAAAGATTCAGACAGGGACTCAAATACGGTATTATTAAAAGTTAGTTTTTTACTAGCATTGCATTTTCTTTTAACCTCAGATAGTGTACGATTTCTTCGAGAAATATCTGGGTTTGCTATCGAGTTTATAATATCCTGCTGAATCTCGGGTTTCACTATTTTTAGTAATTGATGGAGAGAGATCTGAATTTTTTTATTTGACACTTGTTTAATAATGCGAGATATCACACTATTACCATTTCGAGATTTATGATTATTTTCTAATGTAGCTTTATTCATTGTCAATATCGTGTAGTAATATGTACCTTGGTACTAGCTTCGCTATTATTTATTATATTAATACATGATAAAATTCAGAATAAATTATAATTATTTTTTGATTATAATATACATCATTAAACATATTTAACATGTTCATCAATACACTTGTAAAAGGAAAAATCCCAGTAAAAGCATTAATTGATATATTATCGAAGTTTAATACCATTAGTGAGAGCTTGTTCGATAAGCTTAAAGAAGATTATGGAATACGTAATCCTGTTGAGAATCTCTATAAAGATGTAATAGGTAAAATAAAATGTTTAGATTTGCAATTTTGCTATAAAGGAAAGTGGCGAAGTTTAGATGGTACTGAAGTAATAGACTTTCAAATTCGCAAAAATCTATCATTCGATTTGGTTCTGGGACAAGAATGGTTATAGATGCGTAAAGCAAAAATTAGCTTTGGACATTCTCCCAAAACCTATGACAGCTATGCTAGAATTATAATAGATGGTATGAGTATCCCATTAATCAAAGAAAATAGTAATAAAGACAGCTCCATGAAAAATAACTCACCCAATTCCAATCCATTTCTAAAAGATATTGAGGACATAATTAGATTTATAATTCATGCTGTAGAAAAAGGTACTTCACGCCATATTATTTCCGATTCCCACAAATATCAACATTGTCATACTGGTTTACATGGAAAGAAGAAAAAAAATGGAAAAGCTAAGGTTGCCAGAACCATTTCAGTATCTGAGTCAGAATCTTCCGTTAGCGATTCAAGTAATTCTTCCACATCTAGTTTGAAAATAGAAGTTACATATGCACATAAGACTAGAGCAGTAAAGAAACGCCCTATTAGAAAGCATAAATTAAAAGACAAAGTTAATTATCGAGCTTAACTCGCAGAGTGAGGATGCTAACAGATCTAATCCATATGCATAATAAATTATTGGAGCATAACCACATCGTAACTTCGAAATCATATGACATTATAGGGCAAAGCCCATTGCAAAGCAATAATGAGCCTCAGTGGAGCAATGTCATGTGTTTTAAATCCACGAATCGGAGATTAGCATAGAAGTATTTCGGTACTAACTAACTCACTAACCGTACTTATTGCAGAGCAATGACCCTTTGGATCTACCCTTAAGCTAGAAGGTTAGTATATGGTGAAATTGCAACTAATCTTCTGGGCTTTACAAGAGAAAGTTTGCGTAAAAAAACAGCAAAGACAAGAAATATCTATAAGTTGTTCAGAAAAAGTTATAACCATGATACCAAAACAATAGTTAAGGGGATAGAGATTGAAAAAATTGAGCGAATTCGAACATATAGTGCTAATTATATTTCAAAGCTTAATACACAAATTTATAGTATTATAAAGCATTTTAACTAGTACAGATCGTGTCCCCGAAGTTGACGCCAACGTGATATTAATATTTTTTATTAAATCATATATAAGTATAATTACAGTATATAATTTAATTCATAATAAAGTTTATACA